GGAACCCCGCCCCTCGGATGGAACCCCGCCCCTCGGATGGAACCCCGTTCGGCCCGAGGAGTCTTCCCTTCAGCTTATCCTGAACCCGCTATTTCACCTTGGAGGTGCGGTCATCAACATGGACGCAGCGCACACCCCCCTGCGGTGCCTGTCACCTGGACCGCGGTCGAGGGGGCGGAGGGGCGGTGCCGACGGGGCGGGCCCTCACCTGCAGCGGACAGTGGAGCTCCTCGGCGCCGCGCTCCAGCCGCCTCTTGAGGGTGTCCATGCTGCGGTTCTCGGTCAGAAGCCTGTCCAGCTCGTAGCACAGCTCCGACTTCCAGAAGCCCATGTCCGTCAGTCTCTGGCCCAGGCTCCGGGACGTCCCCTCCTGCCTCTGGCGCGTCAGCTGGTCCTTGTCCTGCATGAGCCTCCTGGTGTCGCCGGTCAGCCGGCCAGCCCACAGGCGCGAGGCCTCGGCGCCCCGCAGCTGCAGCTGGGTGGCCTGGTCCCAGTCCTGGGCCCCGTAGCGACAGAAGAGCGCGGAGCGGAGCGCGGGCAGGATGGTGGGCGGGCGCAGGGGGCTGCGGCGACACTCATCCGGGCAGGCCTGGCCGTCGGAGACCTGGTAGAAGAGGCTGGGTCTCCACGAGTTGAGGGAGCGGTACCCGGGCAGGTGGGAGGGCGGGTAGCACTCGTGGACGGCCGGGCTCACGGCCTCGGGCGGCGCCATCAAGGCGCAGGGCTTCTTGGGGCCACAGTAGCTGGCGGCCTGAGAGGTTCCGAGAAACTCCATCCTCCCCCGTGGGCACCAGGCGGCCAAACTCTGCCCAAGGGGCTCCAGCATCAGCAGGAACCGCGAGAGGGCTTCTCTGGGGCTGGCAGGACCTCTATGACTCAGCAGTGGTGTCATAAAGCCTGGGGACAGGGGCTGGGAGCCCAGCCTGTGCGTGCTCTCTTTCAGGTCAGTGGGGTCCCTACTGTCCAAATCTAAACGAATCCATCAGTCACCAAAGGGATTATGAGTCTCACAATCCACAGATTGGGGCATGCAAGAGAGGGCACGTCTCTCTTTCTGTCACCACTACATCTGTCTCTCCAGACCTAACTACGCCCAGGGAGAGAATTTAATGTCGTTCGCTCCAGTAAGGGACCCACTCAAGGTCAGTTTGGTCAAAGTTCTTTTCTTTCTTTCTTTGTCCCCAAGATGGCATCAAAATGGTCCACCCATACGTAGGATACCACTTAGCAACAGTACTCACAACAAAGATCAACCCTAACCTGTTCTGCTAAGTAGCTAGGTTCAAACACGACAGCCCGTGTGGTTTCGTTGGTGATATTCTGCAAAGACAGATCCATATGGACAGGAGACCAGTCAGTCATTGCTGGAGGGCAAGGTGGCAGGAGCGTGGGTCACCAAGGGGGGTGAGAAAATTGGGGGCAGGACTGATAAAGTGTTCTATATCCTGATTAGGGAGGAGATGATACAACTCTATAAGTCAAAACTCATAGAACCCATAGAGCTTCCCACTAGTAAGTTTTGTCGTTCATGAATTATATGATGGGGCTTCAGCTTGAGCACCAGGAGGCAGGAACGACGCCCATCGCTAAATCCCTGGCATCCAGCATACTATTGAAGGAATGGACGGGAAGCTAAAATGAGAAGCTTTATTGTTCCAGAAAAAGGTACTCAATTCCTCGCTCTAAAACAGCATTTTCCCCCAACCAAGAATCTCTCTCCACTCTTGACTCTGGGTACAGCAACAAAATGTGCAGGTATGGGACAGGAGGACTGCTGATTTGTGGGGCTTTTCCCACCTTTGGGAATGCAGCAGAGGGGACGCTGACCCTCAAATGCTCCTTCTTAGTAGATGCATCAGTCAGTTTTCCGTTGCTATAACAAAATACCTGAGATCATGGACTTCTAAGAGAGAAGGTTTACTTGGGCTCATGGTTTGGGGAATTCCAGTCCCTGATTGGATGCCCATTGTTTCGGGTCTCTGATGAGCAGTGGGCCACTGAGGAGGCAGAGCACCGTGGCAGGAACACGTGGTGGCGCAATACCACTGACATCATGAGCCAGGAATAGAGAGGAAGAGAAGGGACTCAGGCCCCTCAGTCCTCTTGGAGGGCACACGTCCAATGACCTAGGTACCTCCCACTAGGCCCCGACTCCTAATGGTTTCTCCACCTCCCAACAGCGGCCTGCTAGGGACCAAGCTCTTGGCCCGTGGGTTTGGGGGACATTCAGCGTGGAGTGGGTATGACAGAAGGTGAGAGGGTGAGGAGAAAAAGCATCTATTAAGCACCTGCTGGGTACTGAAGCTTTACATATGCCAATCTGTTTTCTTTCCTCAGTGAACCTACAACACTGCTAACTTACAGGGTGGGTTAAGGAAAGCCAGCAGACTCCGGAGTCCCCAGTGCCTACAGCACTTATTTGCAGGATATTTTAAGGCAGGACATCCCACAGAGGGATCCAAGAAGTGGGCCAAAAGGTTTGGGGTACTTTGTAAGCATGAAACTCTTATGGTAAAAATTTCTGGGTGCAATATCAAGTGTAAAGTTGTGCTGGGGTTGTGGTAGAGCGCTTGCCTACCGTGTGTGAGGCACCGGGTTCAATTTTCAGCACCACATATAAATACACAAAATATAAATACACAAAATAAAGGTCCATTGACAACAACAACAAAAAATAAATTTAAGAGTCTAAAGTGAAATTTAGGTTTTCTTTTCATCCTTGACTACTGTCAGTCTCCCCAGATGTGACTACAGATTTTTTTAGAAATATTCTATACATGTATAAGTGTGTGTACACATAGCACCACCACTACCACACATGCTTTTCCCATATAACAGTAGCTCCTGGGGATGGACTATGCAATTTCAGGATGTAAATATCTACCTCTTCCTTTTTAGTGGCTGTGTAGTGCTCCATTGTACAGATGTACTGTTATTTATTTGACCATTCCCCACAGCTAGGCATCCCAGATGTTTCCTGACTTTTGTTCTCACCAACATTGCACTAATAAATTCCAAGTGCAATCTCTCTCAGCCAGATTCGTGGAGGTGTAATTTGCACACTGTGAAATCCACCCTCCTCCTGCCACAACCACAACCAAGATTAGAACATTCCTGTCACCCAAGGAAGTTCCCTGTGCCCTTCCCCTGCCACCAGGGGACCCTGCCCCATGAATGCCATATACACAGTCAGATGGTGTGCAGTCCTGGGAGCCCGGACCCTTTCCCTGAGTGCATGCCACCAAGGCCCTTCCCTGTACTCTGTGGGCAGGTGTGACCTCGGCAGCAGGAAGACCAACCCTGGGAAGGCACAAGTTGTTTGTCCTTGGGGGTCGGATGTGCGCAGGGCTGCAGACCTCTGAACGGACTTCCTACCTGCCCCAGGGCTTTCCCAGGTCCCAGGGTCTCTGTGGGGAGCAGCTAAGCCCTGGCAGAGGGTCCTGCTTCAGTGCACACAAGTCAACACACAAGCACACAGGTGCGCATATAGTAGCTTGTCAAACATACACATTACACGTGCAAAGTCAGACCTCAACCCAGAGCTTCAGTCTGTCCTTCCAGGAACCCCACCTCACTTAGGACCAGCCAGGACCTCGGATGGCCAAGCAGGCAGGGGGCAGTTCTCTGGTGACTCAGCTTCCATTCATGGGGGACAGGT